TGAAGCTGCTAGAAGTTTGGTCTGACTGGCTCCAAAAAAGGTTACTGATATTTATAATGAGGCCACTTAATGGAGATTACAGATATGTTTACATACGTGTAAGCTAAAATAATTTGTTTTAGGGTGTGGCAACGCAACAAAAGGTGCCTTGTGTTTTACAAAGCAAGGAAAATTTACCTTTCTTTTTTGCTTTTTTTTTTTTTAAAACTTTATTGGAAGTGTACAAAGATTACACCTCTGAGCTCCCACCTCACCAACAACAACCTTCTTGACCCTTCTTGATCCCTCCACTGGCTTCCCATTGCCCAATGGATAAAATTCAAAACACTAACAATAACGTATAAAGCCATTTATAACTCTGCCCCAAATTACATCACCGATCTTGTCTTTAAATATCACCCAAACTGTACTCTCCGCTCCTCGCAAGACCTCCTACTCTCTAGCTCCCTTGTCTCCTCCTCCCATGCTCGTCTCCAGGACTTATCCAGAGCTTCCCTCATCCTCTGGAACTCTCTACCCCAATTTATCAGACTATCGGCTACTCTGCTCACTTTTAGGCGATCTCTGAAAACCTATCTCTTCAGGGAAGCCTATCCTGCCCTCAGCTAATACTGGAATCTTCTACGCTTCCAACCAGTCCATCCCCCACAGTTACTACCTTTTGTACCACTAGCCCCTCCCTCCTAGATTGTAAACTCCAATGAGCAGGGCCCTTAAATCCCTCTTGTATTGAACTGTATTGTTACTGCATTGTCTCCCGTTATATTGTAAAGCGCTGAGCAAACTGTTGGCGCTATATAAATCCTGTATAATAATAATACACTCCATTCAGATCTCTGCACAGCAGCATGGTGCCCTGTGCTCGTGACCTGCAGTACTGTCCATTGAGCTGTGGAAAAATGAAGTATGTCTGCAATTTTCCACACCATACATCAGACCAGATCAGAAAACAATAGTGCCCTAGTAGTAACTTGTATTGTAGTAGTAACCTGCATTGATATAGTGTGGAAAACTGCAGGTCAAGTATTGCTTCATGTACACTGTATGTTTGCCCAGCTTATTTGAATGCACTTTCTGCTGCCAGGAGTAAAGCCACGTAAAAAAACCCTAAAGATGCATTTTGCAAGCACGTTTAGATGCATCCAGCATTTGGGCGTTCTTTCATTCCACTGGCCAAAATATTAATGTATTCTGGCCACTGAAATGAATGAACATTCAAGTGCTAAACACGCCTAGCATGTAGGAGCATTCAGGCACGTTGGGCATTTTTCATGCCGAAATGCTTCTCTCCTTATGTTGTTTTTTTTTGCCTCTAAATGCCTGTCAACCCCTATGTGTGCATGGACACATAGACTAAAATGGAGGGGCATTTAGAGGCAGAAAAAAAATTATTAAAATGGATGTATTGTCAGACTGAACAACAAACTAAAAATATTTCATCAGTTGTTAATGGAAACTCCACCATTATTTTTTTAAATTTTTTAAGTTTTTATAGTCATACACAGAAAATTCAGTCACATGAGCATAAGGGCATGACATTAGCATGAGAAAAAATACACTGACAGACATGCCAGGTTATATGACAGTACAAAGTCAAAAAGTTTAAGCTGGATACAAGACAGCACATTTCTCTCAGCGCGTGGGGCTGTGTGGTAGTTAGTATATAGTAATAGTAATACCAAGTATCCAGTATGAAACAAAGGGCAGAGGGTAGTAACAGGGCAAAAAAAAAAGGGGGGGGGTGGAGAAATGGTATTGGGATGGGGAGGAGGGAGTAGAAACAGAGGTCCAGAAGGTACAATTAGCTAGTCAAGAGAAGATAGCAAGGTCTGGTAGTCTGTTAGTCTATGGAGAAGGTGAAATTGAATCCAATAGAACCACCGTTTATAACATTGTTCTTTATAGGCCGTGGCTATTAACTCCATCTTTTGTATTTCATTAATCTTGGCGAACCATTGGGTGAAGAGATGGTTTGTTTCCAATGTAGTGGTATGCATGCTTTGGCTGCATTAACCAAGTGTATCTGCAGACACTTTTTATAACTCTTGAACGATATGGAGGCAAACTCCACCATTATAAATAATGACACACCAGTGCGTACAAATTTCTTGACACCATTCTACAATTAGCTAATGTCACTTTCTCCACCATGCCAAAACCAGGCTTTAATTTGTCCTTTAATTTACCTTTGTGACAAAATAAATCAAAGCCTAGTCAGCTAAAAGCGATTAAAAAAGGGAAAAGGGAACAGAAACCAGTCACTCATGCAAAAGCATAGAAAAACATTAACGCTGCCACGTCCTTGATTTAGGCTTTTATTATTAACCTTGAGAATGTTGAGTAACAAAACAAGAGCAGTTCTTACAGAGTCAGCATGCAGAGCAATTTCCTGTGCGGGTCACAGCCACCATCTCAGGTAAAGATTTAAGATTAATCATGCTTATTAAAGAAACAATCTACTAGTTTGAATAGCTGCATATGCTATGCAATACTGCCCTTTCAATACTTTTTCTTTAATGAATATATCAGTTTCAGATGTGCAACAGTCTGCTATATCACCTGCTTTTCATATGTATCAGAGATGCCAGTGATAAGATTTTGCTATCATAGTCGGTGCCTCTCTCACCCCTTCCAAGAAGTCCATAACAAACATGTTATCACACTCCCATTAATGTTTATTCTACATTATGAACAATGTGACATCAGCAGTTGGCAGAATTACTAAAGTCCATGAGAAGTTGGCAGGGTCACTAGAGTGTATCAGTGGTTGGCAGAATTACTAAAGTCCATGAGAAGTTGGCAGGGTCACTAGAGTGTATCAGTGGTTGGCAGAATTACTAAAGTCCATGAGAAGTTGGCAGGGTCACTAGAGTGTATCAGTGGTTGGCAGGGTCATTAGGATCTATCAGTGGTTGGCAGAATCACTAAAGTCCATGAGTAGCTGGCAGGGTCACTAGAGTATATCAGTGGTTGGCAGGATCACTAGGGTCTAACGGTGGTTGGCAGAGTCACTGAAGTCAATGAGTAGTTGGCAGGGTCACTAGAGTGTATCAGTGGTTGGCAGGATCACTAGGGTCTATCAGTGGTTGGCAGAATCACGAACGTCCATGAGGAGCTGGCAGGGCCACTAGAGTATATCAGTGGTTGGCATGTCACTAGGGTCTATCGGTGGTTGGCAGAGTCATTAAAGTCAATGAGTAGTTGGCAATGTCATTAGGGTCTATCAGTGCTTGTCAAGGTCACTATGGTCTTTCTATTAGACCCTTGTGATCCTGCCAAACACTGATAGACAGACCCCAGAGACCCTGCCAACCACGGATAGACCCTAGTAACACTGCCAACCATTAATATGCCCTAGTGACCCTGCCAACCATTAATAGACCCTATTGACCCTGCCAACCACTGATAGACCCTAGTGTCCCTGCCAATCACTGATAAACCCTAGTGACTATCAGTGATTGGCAGGGTCACTAGAGTCTAATAGTGGTTGGCAGGGTCACTAGGGCCTATCAGTATCCTTCATCTGTATCTATTTTGGCATCCTTAGGCTAGCCATACATGGTTAGAATTTTGTTTAAAAACAGTAATTTTCAAAAGATCCAACTGCAGCAGCTTTCAGCCTCTCAAAGAGTTGTACAGACTGCTGGCAGCGGGACTGGACATTACACTTGTGCCTTAAATATGCCTATTTAATAATCAGAGATGATTTATGTAAACTGGGAATGTCACACATGCTTGTTCTAGGTCAGGGAATCACCAAGCACAGAAAGGAAAGGATAGGGAATTTCACTTTAAACCAGAAATAAAGTGGATAGAAAAAGCGTGTAGAGGTTTGATGGTATAGAAAACTTTGTATATCGCTTAGCTTTTTATTTTTTTGCTGGACGCTTCCTGCAGCCCATTCCCGGCATCTGTAGAATGGCTAAAATGCACTGTATGGACACAGCTGCTGCTCCCAATTTGATTTGCTGTGCGGGTACAGGGCCACAAGTGCACACTATCTGCGTTGGAGACCGCACACATGCATCCCACAGGGATGCATGGTACACCAATCATGGCCTTTGTCCGCTGTAGTACACCTGTGTGAACGAGGCCTTACTGTATATAGATTTACATGCTTTTTCTGCATTAGATACATATAAGACCTTCATGTACAGCATACCAGCTAGTTATTCAAAGCAGATCATGTATCTACAGCATGGAAAAGGATTGAGAAATTACAAGAGATTGCCCAAGCAGAAAAACAACACCGTCACACTGAGATGAAAGTAACACATTTCAGGATTTGCCATCTTTTCCCCCCAGCAACATTACTGTGTTGTTACAAGTTAACACCCCTGTGACTGTCCATAGCGAGTATGAGGCAATAATTTCATCCCAGAGAAATGCACAATGACATCTTTTCCCCTGTGACTGAGCTTTCAGGAAATAGCAGATCTTTTATGATGTCACAAGGAATTACTCTGCGGCTCAGACACTTCCTGATATTCGGCTGCTACAAGTCAGACTGGGGTAACCATAGCAACAGCAGTGTGGCCTACATAATGGTAAGCAGAGGAACATCCCGGCGTCACAATGGGACTCGGAAAACAGGACTTGTAGCGCATTTATTTTTAAAATGGGAATGGATAAAAGGATTACAAGTCAAAAGGGGTCATTCTGAGTAACCGTTATATTAAAAAAAAAAAACAATTAAATGAATGGACCTGTTTTGCATTTCTTGCTCGTCTAAAAAGGATATTCTGCCTTGTGGCGGTTATATCCATCCTTTGTTTTAGGAATATATTAGTTTAATGATCGATCACATAAATGAACATGCTATTGAACAGAGGGATCCTGCTAATTAAAACTATTCAGTGACTTTTCGGGGGGATAAGATAAAGCTTACTTCGTAAAAAGCTTGCTATACGCTAGATCAGGGGTCTCCAAACTATTCAAACAAAAGACCAGTTTACTGTCCTTTAGACTTTGGGGGGGGGGGCTGGATTGTGGCCAGTCAGGGAAGAAAATGTCCTGGGCCCAGCATCAGTGAGAAAAAACATAGCCTCAGGGTTGGTGGTCTTTAGAATTAGGAATAGTTGGTGTCAGTGGGAGAACTAGTGCCCCATTATTGGTGTCAAATGGAGGAATAGTGCCCCATCATTGGTGCCAGTGGGATGGGAGAAATAGTGCCCCATCACTGGTGTCAATTGGAGGAATAGTGCCCCATCATTGGTGTCAGTTGGAGGAATAGTGCCCCATCACTGGAGTCAGTGGGAAAAATAGTGCCCCATTGTTAGTGTCAGTGGGAAAAATTGTGCTCCGTCGTTGGTGTCAATGGGAAAAATAGTGCCCCATCACTGGTGTCAGTGGAAGGAATAGTGCCCCATCGTTATAGTCAGTGGGAGGAATATTGCCCAATCATTGGTGTCAGTGGGAGGAATAGTGCCCCATCATTGGAGTCAGTAGGAGGAATATTGCCCCATCATTGGTGTCAGTGGGAGGAATATTGCCCCCCAGTGGGAGGAATAGTGCCCCATTATTGGTGTCTGTGGGAGGAATAGTGCCCCATTTTTGGTGCAGTGGGAGGAATAGTGCCCCATTATTGGTGTCTGTGGGAGGAATAGTGCCCCATTGTTGGTGTCTGTGGGAGGAATAGTGCCCCATTGTTGGTGCAGTGGGAGGAATAGTGCCCCATTATTGGTGTCAGTGGGAGGAATAGTGCCCCATTGTTGGTGTCAGTGGGAGGAATAGTGCCCCATTGTTGGTGTCAGTGGGAGGAATAGTGCCCCAATATTGGTGTCAGTGGGAGAAATAGTGCCCCATTATGGGTGTCAGTGGGAGAAATAGTGCCCCATTGTTGGTGTTAGTGGGAGGAAAAATGCCCCGTCGTTGGTATCAGTGGAAGGAATAGGAATGGTGCGCCAAGGGCCGGATAAAGACTAGCAAAGGGCCCTCGGTTGGCAGTTTGGAGACCCCAGCTCTAGATTGTAAGCTCTCAGGAGCAGGGCCCTCCTAACCCTCTATTAGTATATTAGTAGATTGTAACTGTACTGCTAAACTAGTCACACTATATAACGCCTGTATTATTATAATAATAATAATAAGTGTTCCGTTCTCATATAACATCTTAGCAAATTTCTTGGATTAATTTACCTTAGGGACGTCCATCAGTAATAGCAGTGGAAATCATTTATCAGAGCATTGGAAGGAAAAAACAGATCCTTCCTTCTATTTTCATGTCTAGACTGCAAAGCTACATTTACAGGCTTATTCATAAGAAATGCAAGATAAAATTATGAAGTCATGCATAAAGCGTTGTAACCCATAGCAACCGAATTCCAGTTTACAGTAGTCTGATCACTACAAGATGACTTTTGATTGGCTGCTATGTGTTGCTGCACTATGCACACTGCCACTTATCTTACTGATCAATAAACCTTCTATGGTCTGATCAGTATTAGGCAGCACTGACAACTGCTACTGCTGTAAGAGGAAACAAAAGGACCCCGTCACCACTGCTTACTTTCTTAAAGCTGTATTAAACACAAAACCAAAAATGTGATAGTTTGCAGTTTACCAATCATTACATGTGCATACGTTTTCTTTTTTAGGCTTTTTTCCCTCAGTTTTCACCTGGTGATCTGGCCAGTAACACACCTCCTGTATTAGAGTGCTCCCACTCTGGATGAAGGACCACAGGGGACACCTTTGGAGAGCAGCACTGTCAGTCTGAGGAGAGGATAGTGTTAGATGGACTAGCAGACTTAAATATACTAACAAATTAGAGCCCAACTCCACATAATACTTTATAAGCAGTCTCAGTTAACCATTTTTCCTTTTGGGACAAAGGTTTTTTACATAAAAAATACAAGGTGATCATTGTAAGCACCCTCTCGGTTTTAAATGATTTGTCTCATTCCTGTAACTGATAGCTGCAGGACAGCTTGCTCTTTTGAAAGACAACAGACTGGCTGGATCACCAGATTACAGCAGAAGAAAGAAAAGCTAAAAAAAAAAAAAGGAATCAGCCAAAATTGAAGCTGAGTATGGCAAACTTCAGGCAAGAAGGAGCAGCACTGTAAACCAATAGGCTGCATGTATCTCCCCCTTTATGTCAAATTACAACAGATATTAGTGATGGATCATTTTAATTGCTTTCCATGTGCCTGAAACAAAAATATGGCAGAGAAATATTGCTTAGTTTTATGACAACATAAAATGAGAGTGTTTTTCCATGTAGTGTATATTTGTCCCTAACACATGTACCCAGTGGTACTCAAAGCTGCTGTTTTAGCAGATAGTTTTGGAAAGCTATGAGTGTTTTGGACGCAATGCACAGACATTCAAGTCGCATCAAGCAATGCTCCTTGAAAACCCTGCAAGATTTTTTTTTTTAAATTTTTACAATGCTAAAATGGCAAATTATCACTTTTGTCACTCTGCAACTACACTTTAAACATGCTGTAAATGTCTTAGATATGATTAGGGCGTGTTTCAATATAAATGAATGGAGCCGGTTGCAAAGTGTCAACCCCTGTTAAAAACTCTGTAGGCAGTGTTATTTTTGCCTTACACCAATGCGAGGTAGTGCTAACAGTGCAGTGTGTACACCTCCATCCACTCCTCCTCCTGCAGTGTGTACACCTCCATCTGCTCCTCCTTCTGCCGTGTGCACACCTCCATCCACTCCTCCTCCTGCAGTGTGTACACCTCCATCTGCTCCTCCTTCTGCAGTGTGCACACCTCCATCCACTCCTCCTCCTGCAGTGTGTACACCTCCATCTGCTCCTCCTTCTGCAGTGTGCACACCTCCATCCACTCCTCCTCCTGCAGTGTGCACACCTCCATCCACTCCTCCTCCTGCAGTGTGCACACCTCCATCCGCTCCACCTCCTGCAGTGTGCACACCTCCATCCACTCCTCCTTCTGCAGTGTGTACACCTCCATCCACTCCTCCTCCTGTAGTGTGCACACTTCCATACGTTCCTCCTCTTGCAGTGTGCACACTTCCATACGTTCCTCCTCCCACAGTGTGTACACCTCCATCCACTCCTCCTGCAGTGTGCACACCTCCATCCGCTCCTCCTTCTGCAGTGTACACACCTCCATCCGCTCCTCCTTCTGCAGTGTGCACACCTCCATCCGCTCCTCCTTCTGCAGTGTGCACACCTCCATCCGCTCCTCCTTCTGCAGTGTGCACACCTCCATCCGCTCCTCCTTCTGCAGTGTGCACACCTCCATCCGCTCCTCCTCCTGCAGTGTGCACACTTCCATACGTTCCTCCTCCTGCAGTGTGCACACTTCCATACGTTCCTCCTTCTGCAGTGTGTACACCTTCATCCGCTCCTCCTTCTGCAGTGTGTACACCTTCATCCGCTCCTCCTCCTGCAGTGTGCACACCTCCATCCACTCCTCCTCCTGCAGTGTGTACACCTCCATCCGCTCCTCCTCCTGCAGTGTGCACCTCCATCCGCTCCTCCTTCTGCAGTGTGCACACCTCCATCCACTCCTCCTCCTGTAGTGTGCACACCTCCATCCGCTCCTCCTCCTGCAGTGTGTACACCTCCATCCTCTTCTCCTCCTGCGGTGTGTACACCTCCATCCGCTCCTCCTCCTGCAGTGTGTACACCTTCATCCACTCCTCCTCCTGTGGTGTGTACGCCTCTATTTGCTCCTCCTCCTGCAGTGTGTAAACCTCCATCCGCACCTCCTCCTACAGTGTGTACACCTCCATCCACTCCTCCTCCTGCAGTGTGTACACCTCCATCCACTCCTCCTCCTGCGGTGTGTACACCTTCATCCGCTCCTCCTCCTGCAGTGTGTACACCTTCATCCACTCCTCCTCCTGTGGTGTGTACGCCTCTATTTGCTCCTCCTCCTGCAGTGTGTAAACCTCCATCCGCACCTCCTCCTACAGTGTGTACACCTCCATCCACTCCTCCTGCGGTGTGCACACCTCCACCTACTCCTCATTTTGCAGTGTGTACACCTCCATCCGCTCCTCTTCCTCTGGTATGTGCACACCTCAATTGTGACCGAAAACCGCCTATTTTCAACGCCTGAGTAAAAAAGCCTTAATGGTTAGAAAAAAAAATAGGAATCAGGATGAAATACATTATAAAGGAGTACCATGAGTAGCATAGACTGTACACAGTCTTCAAAGTACAAGTATAATTCTACAAAGGGAAAAATAGGATAGAAGAAAAGGATGGATTATTTCTTGATATTTGTAAGCTTTTCGCCAACAATTTTGGGAGGGAGAAATCTGGCACTGACAGACAGACCAAACCCTTAACGTGCTCACTCTTCAGCCCTGGGCAGTTTTCCACAATCATCAGAACAGAGAGTAGATTGCTTTGAGGGAGAAAATGGGAAGAGAATCTGGAAGAGCCCTATTTATAGACAACTACAGAAAATGCAATTGGGCTTATACAATAGTTGGTGTAAAGTATTGATGATAGTCAAAGTGCAGCATTCCATAGCAATAGAAGTCATTTGAATAGATATAATATATAACATTAGAAGCTTAGGATAAATGAAACATGTACATCTACTGCACCTCACGATGGTCATACACTGAGCGAATGTTGGCCTGTTCCTGATAAACAACCCAAAATCTGAGCTGTGGTTGGCCCTGTCTACAGTCTCCCACCCGACATCCTTCAATTTGAACATTGAAGTAGCCAGGCGGTAAATCGACAACCGAATAGCAACTGCATCCAATCAGATGCAGCCACTGTTTGGGTACTCACACATCTGCAGGTACCAGTTGTCAAAACAGAATAGCCAGCAGATTCCTCCATTCATGCAGTTTAGCGTGGATGGGGCAATCAATAGATTTCTCCCAGTCAACCTGTGGAGCAGAAAAAAAAGATACAAGGTATGGCCAGCTTCAGTTGAACAAAACATAATATGGGTTGCTTATAGGAAGGCCGTGGATGACTTTTTGCAGTCTTTTGAGCACAAAGCACTTGCTGCTGTATTTAGGATTTTCCTAACATCCAGCCAGAATGGAGAGGTATGGTTTCATTTTTCAGAGCTTTGTTTCCAGCCCCCTTTTTTCTTTTCTCTCTGAGTATTAAAGACCACACACGGGTTTCTCCATACAGGATTGTCTTGTGGAATAAAAGAAAAAGCATGATTGTGCTTTCGTCCATTATCTCCATCATGCATGGCAAGACTTCATCATCATCATTTTTTAAGTTTTTTTCCAACATGTTTTTTACACATACCATCCAATCAGCAATTATCTTTAACTCGTCTAACTGCTCTAAATTTATAATAAGGGAACTGTGGCTACAAGGATTGCTGTACATTACTACTGTTCTATGCATTGCCATATTAAATTCATGGCACTTTGTGACCGATAACATGCCTAATCCTATTCCTTTCTTCTGTGACTCGAACACAAATCACAGTCGACAATGGAGGAACACACAGACA